TAAAAAAATTAATTGTGATTAATCGTGCTGCTAAACTAATAGAATACTATTTAAATATTTTTGATGTTTTCTACATTTTCAAATATACTGATTTAAATTACAACACAGAATAGTGTACAGTGCTCACTTTATATCTATTTTTATTACAAATATTTGCACTGTAAAATACAAAACAGCATTTTTCAATTCACCTGATACAAGTACTGTAGTGAAATCTCTTTATCATGACAGTTGAACTTACAAAGGTAGAATTATGTACAAAAAAAACTGTATTCAAAAATAAAACCATGTAAAACTTTAGAGCTTACAAGTCCAATCAGTCCTACTCTTGTTCAGCCAATCGCTCAAACAAGTTTGTTTACATTTGCAGAAGATAATGCTGCCCACTTCTAGCTTACAATATCACATGAAAGTGAGAACAGGCGTTCTCATGGCACTGTTCTAGCCGGCGTCACAAGATATTTACGTGCCAGATGCGCTAAAGGTTCATATGTCCCTTCACACTTCAACACCATTCCAGAGGACAGGCGCCCATGCTGATGACAGGTTCTACTCAATAACAATCCAAAGCACTACGGACAGACGCATGTTCATTTTCATCATCTGAGTCAGATGCCACCAACAGAAGGTTGATTTTCTTTTTTGGTGGTTTGGGTTCTGTAGTTTCCACAGTGTTGCTCTTCTAAGACTTCTGAAAGCATGCTCCACACCTCGTCCCTTTCAGATTTTGGAAGGCACTTCAGATTCTTAAACTTTGGGTCAAGTGCTGTAGCTATCTTTAGAAATCTCACATTGGTACCTTCCTTGCGTTTTGTCAAATCTGCAGTGAAAGTGTTCTTAAAACAAACATGTGCTGGGTTATCCTCCAAAATTGCTATAATATGAAATATATGGCAGAACGTGGGTAAAACAGAGCAGGAGATATACAATTCTCCCCAAGTATCAGAGGAATAGCCGTGTTAGTCTGGATCTGTAAAAAGCAACAGAGAGTCCTGTGGCACCTTTAAGACTAACAGATGTATTGGAGCATAAGCTCTCATGGGTGAATGCCCACTTCGTCGGATGCATGTGACGAAGTGGGCATTCAACCATGAAAACTTATGCTTCATTACATTTGTTAGTCTTAAAGGTGCCACAGGACTCTCTGTTAATTCTCCCCAAGGAGTTCAGTCACAAATTTAATTAACCCCTTTTTTTTTTTTTTAATCAAGCGTAATCAGCATGGAAGCATGTCCTCTGGAACAGTGGCTGAAGCATGAAGAGGCATATGAATCTTTAGCACATCTGGCACGTAAATATCTTGTAACACCAGCTACAACAGTGCCACATGAATGCCTATTCTCTCTTCCAGGTGACACTGTAATTAAGAAGTGGGTAGTATTATCTCCCATAAATGTAAACAAACTTGTTTTGTTAGCTGAACAAGAAGTAGGACTGAGTGGACTTGTAGGCTCTAAAGTTTTACATAACTGCACTCAAAAGCAAAACAATGTAACAAAAAAAAATCTACATTTGTAAGATAAAGGGATTGCATTACAGTACTTGTGAATTGAAAAATATTTTTATTTTTAGCGCAAATATTTGTAATCAAAAATATAAAGTGAGCACTGTACACTTTGTTCTGTGTTGTAATTGAAATAGATATATTTGAAAATGTAGAAAAACATCCAAAATATTTAATACATTTAAATTGTTATTCTATTGTTTAACAGTGCGAGTAATCATTTTTTAATGTTAATTGCGTGAGTGATTAATCGACACGTTAATAAGCTGTGATGTACTAACAGAACAGCAAACTTGTTATCTTCTGTGAATGCAGCGAAAGGGGTTGTGCATAGAATTGAAACATCTCTTAGGAGCTTAGGGATGGAATTCACTAATTGTTACCTGGTAGGCAAAGTTTGGGCCCGGAATGGCTTGTGGATTTTGCTGGGTAAGGAAGACAGGCAGGGTGGCTAGCAGGCAAGGGCTTGACGCAGTCATTCACCAGCAAAACTCACTCTTACTGAGGGAGAGAGATAACACAATGGCTCATAACTCTGTGTATCCCCAGAAGCATACTATAACTTGGCAATGGCAATATAGCATTATCCGTATCTTCATCCTCAGAGTCCAATTCCAATACTTGCATACATTCAGCTAAAGTCAGTGGTTCTGGTGTCTGTTCTTTCCAGTGGATTTTGTAAAATAATTCCTCAGCCTCCCTTCCTACTCACTTTTTCTTTGCAATTTCTGCATCTAAGACTCTTTGCTAACTTTATAAACTTTTTCAAAATAGCCATGAATTGGGTCAAGTAGTCCTCCACCTTGGTTCATGCCACAAGGACTCCTTGTTCATTTTGACCTAAGTCACTCCACTTGCTCAGTTCAGTTGTACTCCAGCTAGCCAGATCAAGAGACGGTGTAATGGACTAGACAGTTTTTTGAGGTAAACTGCCAAACTAACAAACTTCCGAATCTGAGAATTCCTCTTCTTGGTTTGCTAAACATGTAATTTTCATAGCTAAACAAACAACAGGAATTCCCAGATTCCAAAGTTTCAGTTTCTACTTGAGATAGCCTAGACAACAGCATACAGCTTTAAGTTGACGCTCTTTTGTTTTTAGTTCCTATAATTAAAATTAAGCAGACTATTTTACTGCAAATCTATTACCAAATGGCTAAATATTTCAGTATTTGTCATTAGTATAGTTATAATAATTTTATTTTTCCCAGATTAAGACAGTATTTACTAGTGCCCAATCCTAAACTAGTTTTCCCAAGTAAATTGCCAACCCTGCCCCTCTTTCATGCTTTAGAGCAGTGTTTCCCAAACTGGGGTTCGTAAAATGTTACAGGGGGTTCTCGGGAAAAAATTCCCTAATGGCGGACAGAGCTGTCCCGGGTAGCATGGGGCCAGCAGCCGGGAGCCCTTGAACTTCCAAGAGCTAAGCAGATCAAAGCAAGCATATCTATCACACTGAGGAGATTTAAACTTCAAGATTCCTTATAAGAAATGGAAAGGGAGGTGGATATTTTTTGCTGATTTTAAAATTAAATAGGCAGCTAGTATTGTTTTTAAAATTATTATGAAGAATAAGTTTAAGCTTTGTTGTAATGTGCGTTGTTTGCCTGGACTGCTCAAGACCTGAATGCTTGTGTACAAGGAACTCTTTGAGTTGGCTTGTTAAATACCTTCATGCTGTTTCACATCTGATACTCCTTGATGAAACACAGGAGCCTTATCTTATAAAACAGGCTCATTCAAAGTGATACAAGTTACGAAAGTGAGATCTTGGAAGAGTGTTACTGTTTTCATAATGTAATAAAAATACTGTAATGATAAATAGTGTGTAATAAGCTTGTCATAAAAAAATATATTTCCAAGATCACTGCTCGTATAATTTATACTCAGGTAAAGGAGAAAATCCCTGGAAATATTCATTTTTAGGAGGGGGTTCACGAGACTTGACATTTTAGTGAAAGGGGTTCACAGGGTTGTTAAAGTTTGGGAACCACTGCTTTAGAGGAAAGAAAACAAAAATAAAAAGGCAAAAACTAGAATACATCAAGGGAAGGGGTGGGGGGTGGGGGGTAATTCCCTTTTGACCCCCTGCAGCTGACCGAATGAAGCCCTGAAGATGAGATTAAGAATATAAAACATTCACTGGAAGGGATCCCAGGGGCTACTATGCCCAGAGTCTCACCAGCACAGGCAACCCCATCATACAATCCCACTCCATTTTAATTATGATATCAACATTCCAATTGGTCAACCCAGGTAAGACTGCAACTGGATGCTTGGCAATTAAAAAAAAAAATCCCTCTCTATCCTCATCTCTAGGAATAACATTAATTGTATATTCAGAGTGAATGTTAAAGTATCTACCAGTACATGTCTCTCTCAGTTTTTCAAAGAAAAACAAAATCCAATAAACAGACTTCTGTATGAGTTACATGCGTCACTGTAGTCAACCCAGCGGCTACAAAAGCAATGTCCATTTATGACCAAGATTTTATTGGCTCGTTTGGTAATCAGTACAGACACACCATGAACAATTTGTACAATTTTTTATTCTTGTATATTTTTCATCTTTTTAAAAACCATTATTCCAATTACTTTTCATCTTAACCTGTGTTGACAAACTGTCCTTTACAATTAGGCATGATGTATCAGTATCTTGAATACTGTCATATGAAGTTAGATCTGCTATATAGAAAGTTCCACCTACTCCGGGCTTGTCTACACTTACAGCACTGCAGCAGCACAGCTGGAGTTGTGCTGCTGTAACGCTTAGAGAAGATGCTACCTGTGCTGACAGGAGAGCTCCTCCCATTGGCAAAGGTACTCTGCCTCCCTGAGGGGCAGTAACTTTGTTGATGGGAGAAGCCCTTCCATTGACATAACTCTGTCTACACTGGGAGTTCAGTTGGTATAAATGCATCGCTTAGGGAGGTGGATTTTCCAAACCCTTGAGCAACGTAGTTATACTGACATAAATCTGTAGTGTAGACCAGGGCTCAGTAACATCACACTCACTACACACCCAATAAAGGTTTCCAATTTTTCACAGCAGAGTTACGAAGTTATTGAAAAAAATAAAACTACCACTACTAAAAATAACTGTCACAGATAATACACAATTCTGAAAGGGAGATCCAACACCAAGGAGCAGTTTCATTACAGAAATAACTCTATAGATACAGTGGACATAAGTAAAATGATAAGACTTTTCAACTTATGATTCCAAAGTTTGATCTGTGTCATGCCTCATTTAACAGGATATAAAAACTGTCCCTCACAAGCTATGGAATGTTAAGTGTAATCAGGATTTCAAAGCCTCTCCCTTAGCTAACATTCCATTAATTTCTGGCTACACAGAAAATAGACAACCAGTAGATGATTTTACCTCTTTAAAAAAAAAAAAAAGCATTTACACGTATCTAATTATGTAAAAAAAAAAATGGGAAGTGGCGGGACTCCCTCCTTTTTAAAAGTGTGTTTTCTAGAACTACTAAAAAACTTGCATTTACAAAATAGTTGATAAAAATATTCCTCTGAATTGTACAAGGAAGGTAGGTACTGGGTCCACTGATAAAAGACTTGGTAGAGATATTACTGAGACTTAGCTTCTTTCTCTCTTGCTGCATCAGACCCTGGAGCCTGAAAAAGGGGAGGGGACATAGAGAACATTTAGTATAACAGTTTCCTGAAAATCTCAATGTCTTAATTCACACATAAGATCTAACAGTAAAGAGAATATGGTAGCTTCAAAAAGATTTAACAAATCAGGTATATTTTAGAGCAAAATTCATTATCAAATGTTTAGGACAAATGATTACTTATTTTTTGAAGTCTTCACACATTTTGATTCATGATCTTAACCAATCAGTCCCCTTTGATAACGTTCTACACACACAAATCAAATTAAAGTGAAATTTAACTGGCTCAAATTTTAGGAAGTCTGCTCCTCATATTGGAAATGTAAAAGATAAACTGGTAAGAATTAGTTTTACCGGTTAATCTGCCTTAACTGTTAATCCCGGAGCAAAGCCAGCTGGCCCGGAGCAGCGCCAAAGCAGGCCCAGCCACGCCGGCTGGAGGGGCCCTAGCCCCAACTGCGCTGGCAGAATCAGCCCCAGACATTTAAACAACATATTTTTCGTTTAAACAGCTAACTTTTTAAAACGGTATTAACAATTCTAGAATGCATATGCGGTAGGGATGTGAAGTCATTCCAGCTCAAGACAGACTTAAAGGTGAAGGGATTTTTTTTTTTTTTTTAAAAGGAGCCTACTTCATTAACTGCTGCCCTAAAGGTCAAAATACTTTAAGATTTAATGAGTACTCTCTCTCACACTAGGTAGCTTAGATCCTGGGGAATAGCATATCTTTAGAGAAGCAAACATTTGAATGTGTTATTCTACACTGCAGTATTTGCATTGTTACTTTAACATGTTTTAAGACAAAGTGATCATGTCACAGTATTCTTGAATTTAGAAGTCTATCTCTGCAGTAATTTAATTAAATATCTAGACTGAGTAATAGTGGCAGAACTACACTGTGTCTAGATCAGTGGTCTCCAACCTTTTTACGCCCAAGATCAATTTTTGAATTTAAGGGCAACCCAGGATCTACCCAATCCCGAGACCCCGCTCCGCTCACTCCACCCTCTCCCCCCGTTGCTTGCTCTCCCCCACCCTCACTCACTTTCACAGGGCTGGGGCAGGGGGTTCGGGAGGGGGTGGGGGCTCTGGGCTGGGGCGGAGGGGTTTGGATTGCGGGAGGGGGCTTCGGGCTGAGCCTGGGGTAGGGGTGCAGGAGGGGGCGCCAGCAGAGTGTTGGTGTGCGGGCTCAGGACTGGGGGTGCAGTGTGCAGGAGGGGTTATGGAGTGGTGGCTCCAGGAGGGGAGTTGGGGTGCGGGCTCCCGCCGGGCAGAACTTACCTTGGGCAGCTGCACAGCTAAGGCAAGCTCTCTGCCTGCTCCAGCCCCACGCTGCTCCCGGAAGGGGCCAACGCGCCCCGGGGAGAGGGGGAGATGTGGCTCCACGCACTGCCCCTCTCTGCAGGCACCGCCCCTCTCTGCAGGCACCGCCCCCACTGGCCACAGTTCCCTGTTCCCGGACAATGGGAGCTGCGAGGGCGATGCCTACAGAGAGGGGCAGCACGCGGAGCCACGTCTCTCTCCCCCCTCCCCGGGCCACATTGGCCCCTTTCGGGAGCGGCGTGGGGCCGGGGCAGGCAGGGAGGCTGCTTTAGCGGCACCCCTGCTGCACCACTGGAGATTGTGATGGATTGGGAGAGCCTCCAAGGTCGACCAGTCAATTGCAATCAATCAACTGGTGACCACTGGTCTAGGTCAAGCCAGTATTTTGTCCCTTAACTTCAAAACAATGAATTCATACAAGCTTAAGAACATAAGAATGGCCATATGGGGTCAGACCAATGGTTCATCTAGCCCAGTATCCAGTCTTCCGACAGTGCCCAATGCCAAGTGCTTCACAGGGAATAAACGGAACAGGTAATCAAGTGATCCATTCCCAAAATGGCCATTCCCAGCTTCTGGTAAACAAAGTCTAAAGACACTTCAGAGCATGGTTTTGCATCCCCGCCTATCCTGGCTAATAGCCATTGATAGACCTATCCTCCATGAATGTATCCAGTTCTTTTTTGACAGGATACATATACTCCATCTAAATAGATAAATTCATTGCATTTTTACTGCATAAGTATTATCTTTAAAATAGGACTGTCAAGTGATTAAAAACATTAACAGTGCGATTAATCGCAATTAAACAATAGAATACCATTCATTTAAATATTTTGGGATGTTTTCTACGTTTTCAAATATATTGATTTCAATTACAACACAGTACAAAGTGTACAGTGCTCACTTTATATTTATTTTTGATTACAAATATTTGCACTGTAAAAACAAAAGTTATTATTTTTCAATTCACCGAAGACAAGTACTGTAGTGCAATCTCTATCATGAAAGTTGAACTTAAAAACGTAAAATTTAGAGTCTACAAGTCCAATCAGTCCTATTTCTTGTTCAGCCAATCGCTCAGACAAATAAGTTTGTTTACATTTGCAGAAGATAATGCCGCATGCTTCTTGTTTACAATGTCACCTGAAAGTGAGAACAGGCATTTGCATGGCACTGTTGTAGCTGGTGTTGCAAGACATTCATATGCCAGATGTGCTAAAGATTCATATGTCCCTTGAAGCTTCAACCACCATTCTAGAAGACATGCATCTGTGCTGATGATGGGTTCTGCTCGATAACAATCCAAAATAGTGCAGACTGATGCATGTTCATTTTCATCATCTGAGTCAGATGCCACCGGCAGAAGGTTAATTTTCTTTTTTGGTGGTTTGGATACTGTAGTTTCCACATCAGTGTTGCTCTTTTAAGACATCTGAAAGCAAGTTCCATGCCTCGTCCCTCTCAGATTTTGAAAGGCACTTCAGATTCTTAAATCTTAGGTCGAGTGCTGTAGCTATAAAACAGAGCAGGGGACATTGAACTCCTTGGGGGAGAATTGTGTCACAAATTTAATTAACGTATTTTTTTTTTAAATGAGCGTCATCAGCATGGAAGCATGTCCTCTGGAATGGTGGCCGAAGCATGAAGGGGCATACAAATATTTAGCATATCTGGCATGTAACTACTTTGCAAAGCTGGCTACAAAAGTGCCATGCAAATGCCTGTTCTCAATTTCTGGTGATATTGTAAATAAGAAGTGGGCAGCATTATCTCCTGTAAATGTAAACAAACTTGTTTGTTTGAGCGACTGGCTGAACAAGAAGTAGGACTGATTGGACTTGTAGACTAAATATTACGTTGTTTTATTTTTGAATGCAGGGGTTTTTTTTGTACATAATTCTACATTTTTAAGTTCAACTTTCATGATAAAGAGATTGCACTTCAGTACTTGTATTAGGTGAACGAAAAATAATTTGTTTTTACAGTGCAAATATTTGTAATAAAAAATATAAAGTGAGCACTGTACACTTTGTATTCTGTGTTGTAATTGAAATCAATATATTTGAAAATGTAGAAAAATATCAAAAATATTTAATAAGTTTCAATTGCTATTCTATTGTTTAACAATGCGATTGTGATTATTTTTTTGAGTTAATCGCACGAGTTAACTGCAATTAATCAACAGCCCTACTTTAAAAGGAATATATCAATTGAATTTATTTAGTGCTGACGAAAGGTTTTAGAACAGCAGCAGAGAGTAAGATCCTATTTATCCACAATACCAGCAGAAAACAAGGACAGCCACATTACAAGTGTCCTTATACCATTTACTAATATGACTCAACCTGATCTGGAGTAAGCTTTTCTAGGATCAAGAAGGTACTGCACTCTTCATGTCCATTTACAGTCCTCGGTCTCTCTGCTGGAGTTACCGAAAGGGTCAATTTTCTCATCAATTCGTTTCACAGTTACTGATCAGCAGTAACACTATGTCTATAACAGGGTGTTCAAATTCTGTGAAGTGGGAAAAACTACACTTAGACTTGTCTACACACAATTTTTGTGCCAATTTAACCTTTTCTTCTTCGAGTGATGTCCCTTATGGATGCTCCACTGTAGGTGAGTAGAAAGCAGTGCCCCAACTGGAAGGCTGGGGCTTCAGACCAGCATTTACTGCAGATGATAGGACAGTGCGTCCAAGAAGAGTGTCTGCTGTGACGTCATGAGTAATGGCATAGTGACAGGCAAAAGTATATGTTGATGCCCGTGTGGCCGCTTTGCAAAATGTCAGTAATGGGGACATGAATGAGAGGTGATGGTAACAAGATAAGCAGTTTTAATTGATAAGTAAATGTAAGAGCACATTGCCCTTGGTTCCAACGGAGGTCTAGTTGGAGAACAGAGGACAAGGCCGAGGTTCCCAGGTCAGATCTCATATGTGAGGATAAAGATTTTGGAGACCCTTCAGAAAACGTTTTGAGAGTGCATGTGTGAAAATCGAATGGCCGTCTATGTGGCAGTGAAAAGTGATGACAGCTGCCGAATGCACCTGAATGGAGCTGGTGGATTATCCTGATTGTTTAAGATGTAATATGTAGTTCAGGATAAGTGGTAGTGGAACACTTACGGAGTTGACTTGATAGGAGGCGCACTAGCATTGGAATCTAGTCAATTTTGTGAAGGTAAGTGTGTCTAGTCATGCGTGCCTGCTGTTCAAAAGTACCTGCTTAACTGTGTCTGAACAGGTTATTTCCAAATCCTGGAACCATGGAGGAGCCAGGCTTTGGAGTGGAGCATCTGTGGACTGGGATGCAACCCGCATCCTGTGAAAGGAGCTGTGGAGTTGGATGAAGAGATCGGTTGGCATACTATCATGTGAAGGAGGTAAGTATACTAGATCTATCATGGCCAAGTTGGAGCTTTAAAGATGACTTGGGCTCAGTCCCCCTGTATCTTGTGGAGTACTCGAAGCAGAAGGGGGAAGGGAGGGAAGGCATAGAATAGTGGTGCATCCCATGTGACGAGGAACACATCTCCCAGAGAGCCATGTCCCAGTCCTGCTCTCCAGCAGAATCTATGGTGGGGAATCCCCAGTAACTGAAGATGAGCTGAAGGATTCGTGTATTCAGTTCCCACTCGTGGTTGAGCAGGAGATTCTCCCATGAGTCTGCAGTGGTGTTCTGGTATCCAGGGAGGTGTGTGGCTGAAATGATGATGTGTTGGATACACCATTTCAATAATTTCACTGCCTCCAAGCATAAAGAGTGGGACCTCACTCCATCTTGCCTGTTGATGTAAAACATGCAAACGATATTGGTCATCATGACTCTTGATGGTGCGATGTGCGAGCAGTGGGAGGAAATGTCAGCAGGCACTGTGGACCTCTCGTACCTCTAGGAGGTTGATGTGTAGGGTGGATTTGGTTAAGAACCACCTGTCCTGCATTGTATGATTGTGAAGGTGTGCTCCCCAACTGATTAGGGAGGCGTTGATTGTTAGAATCATAGTCTGCGCTGGTTGGAGGAAAGAAATCCCAACACAGATGCTCTTGGGCGGTGTCCACCAGAGTAGTGAGTCCTTGACTCTCAGCGGCATGAATAAGTTTGTGGCGGCGGTCTGTGAGGGACATATACTGACTGTATGGAGCCGTGCCTGAAGATATTGCATGTGTAACCGTAAGTACTTTACCACGAAAGTGGCTGCTACTATGTGGCAGAGTAGTTGGAGGCATGTTTTGGCAGAGATCTGGGGGCAGGCTCATTCTTTGGATACAATATCCACTATAGGCGAGAATCTGATTAATAAAAAGGTCCACTGTCACCCAGATGGCGCGAAGAGCATCAGTTTCAGATGGGGCCTTGAGGAGAATAAGTTGTGGGGTCATCTAAATATGGAAAGATGACGACGCCTTGTTTCCTGAGGTAGGCAGCAATGACTGCAAGAACTCTGGAGAATACACGAGGGGCCATGGACAGTCAGAAAGGCAGTATCTTGCACTGACAGTGGTTGGTGCCCATGGTGAATCGGAGAAACTGTCTGTGGGCAATGTGTACTGTGATATGGAAATATGCGTCTAGGAGCTCGAGGGCCAAGAACCAGTCCCCGTATTCCAGTGCTGGGATAATGGTGGAGAGGGTAACCATCCTGAAGCATTGCAGTGCGATGAACTTGTTTAGGTTTTGAAGGTCCAGGATCAGCTACCAGCCACTGGATTTCTTCTGGATCAGAAAATAAAGGAAGTAGAAATGCTGTCCTCTGTGTTGGGAAGGGACTGGATCTATGGCTCCCAACTGCAGAAAATTAATTTCTTCTTGTAGAATGGGTTCATGGGAAGGGTCCCTGAGGAGAGATGGGGATGGAGGGTGGTGAGGAAGAAGGATAGATACGAAAGGGATGGAGTATCCTTCCCTATCTTTAAAACCTACTTTTCCAAGGTGATTAGGCTCCGTGATGGAAACAAGGGAGCTAACTGGTCGCCAAACTGGTGGGATATCAAAGATGGTTGGTATGACTGTAACAAGGGAAGGCTTCTTTGGGCCTCGACTAAACCTTCAAAATTGTTGCTTGGATAGAGGTGCATGAGAGGTAGCCCCTTGAGAAGTGACCTGTCTGAATCTGGTAGGGTACTTTGTGTAAATGCAGAGAGATCAGAGAGCAGCTCAGGAGTGTAGGGTGTCATCCATATGCTCCACAAATAAGTTGGGGCTCTTAAAGGGTAAGTCATCTGCTGTAGTTTGTACCTCCTTAGGAAACCCCAAGAGGTGTAGCCATTACGCCCACCTCATGACTACAACATTGAGATAGAAGGGCGGCAGTATCCACAGAGTCTAAAGAGGCTTGTTGTAGGGCTGTATGGGCCAAGAGATGTCCCTCAGATATAAGCACCCGGAATTGTTCTTTCTTGGCTGCAGGCATGTCTTGGCAGAGTTCCTCTATCTTGAAGTAGTTGAGATAGTTGTACTTGGCCATAAAAGCCTCGTAATTAGATATACAAAATTGGAACTTGACAGATGAATAAACTTTGTGTCCAAATAAATCTAATTGCTTCCAGTCTCTGTCCTGATGGGTAGATTGAGGGAAAAAGCTTCCCAAATGGGAAGCGGGGAAACAGAAACCTAAGCTATGAAGCAACAGTAAAAATAAAGCAAAAACAACAACAAATTTTTTTTGATAGAGGAAAGTAGTAGTACTAACTACACTCGGCATGTCTACACTTACCGGCACTGCTGCAATTGATGCAGCCACTGTCGATTTAGCGGGTCTGGTGAAGAAACGCTAAATCCATGGGAGAGCACTCACCCATCGATTTGTGTAATCCACCTCCCCGAGAAGCATAAGGGAAGTCGACGGGAGATGCTCTCCCATCGACGGAGCGCAGTATAGCCACTGCGGTAAGTGGATCCAACTACGTCGACTTCAGTTAAGTTATTCACTTAACTGAAGTTTTGTAAACTTAGATCGATTTACCGCTGTAGTGTAGACCAGCCCTAAAACTGACAGGCAAGGCACGATCTACTGAAGGTAAAGGAGACGCAGGCTCTGCTGTGCATTCCGTCCCAGACCAAAGGTGGTAGAGAAGGAACTGGGGGGCAGTCGAACCACACAACGCTCTCTCTCATTCATATATTATATATATATACACACACACACACACACACACACGTGTGTATGTGTATGTATGTCCCGCTCACAGCGCGACAGGGGGAGGTGCACATGTGCAGTCCAATGGGCACTGCTGATGAAGATCTCTGATCCCAGGCACAGGAGGCGCTGCCACATCGACAGCAGAGTACCCATTGGAACAGCATCACTTGAAGAACAACTGTTGCATTCAACAAATACGATTTCTTTGACCTTTGGCCATTTTCAGATATTAATCAATGTGCATGCTCAGTTTTAATAAGCATCAGTTAGGAGTGTAATTGCAATTATCAAGTTATTTAGAAAGTAAGTATTGAGCCTACTGACACTAAGTCAGATTAACATCCCACTGAAATGGACGAAGCAGTTGACATTGCAGACAGCCTGAAAATAGCTCTAAAACGTCTTCTTTTGAATTTGCATCAGTTATCCTTCTAGAGTATTTCTTTGCAACCATGAAGACTAGAAACTATCAGAGATTTTCAGATCCGTCAGAGGACAAAGCCACTGAGGCTGGTTGAAAATTTTCTGTCAGCTATTTCGGGTTTTAACATAATGGAATTTGTGAGATGTTTCTTGCTTTCTGCAGAAAACACTGTTTTTTGTTGAAAGATTTTGGTCAAAAACTAGTTGTAGCACTTCATGGGTTGTAGTTTGCTCCTTGCGTACTCACTCTCTTCCATGGGCTGGGATCCCCAGATACACATCTTCCATAATGCACCCATCTCCTCTCTGGGTGAGGGCTGTGTGCAACATGAAGTTCCTTGCCAGCGTGCATTATGGGAGATGTACTCCAGCTGGGGATCACAGCCCAAAGAGAAGGGGGACATGAGGAGCAAACTACAACTCCCATGAGGCTCTATTACCACATTTGGCCGAAATGTTTTCATTTTGAGTTTTTACTGAAAGCTATATTCCATGGAAATTGAGTTATGAAAATGTCTCTTATTTTTCCAGAGGAAAAGATTCCAATGGATTTTCACACCAGTTCTGGTAGCTACATATCTTCCATTAAAGTTAATAGAAGATGCATGGCTAAATCCCCTAGGCTGCTATGAAAATCTCAGCAACATACATTTATATCATAGATTTTGCAGAAACTGAATCTGATGTCAGATAGACGTTTAGATTAACTAGTGCATTACATTACATTAACTCTTCATAATCAAGAGCTAATCTTTTGTCTAGGTTAAGACTAAAGCTACTACTATACCTCTGCACTGTTAATTTCTCCGTTTTCTGCAGGCAAGTTATCGTTTGTTTCTTCTTGATTAGTCCCCTCAATCTGTTTTCCTTTTGGTCCTTTTTTCCCCTTTGATTGAGCTTTCCTGTCCTCAGATTTATCCTACAATAAAATGAACGTAAGAATTTTAAAACAAGATGGTTATTAATTCTCAATATTACCAAAAAAACCTCAGAAACTATATGCTCCATAACCAGTGAAGGAGGTTTCCATATACACCCATCTACCTCGATATAACGCGGTAAAGCAGTGCTCGGGGAGGGGGGAGGGCTGTGCACTCCGGTGGATCAAAGCAAGTTCAATATAACGCGGTTTCATCTATAACGTGGTAAGATTTTTTGGCTCCAGAAGACAGTGTTATATTTAGGTAGAGGTGTATATAGAAAAAAAAATTCTCTCCATTCCAGAAATAAGAGATAGTCAAACTGGGATCAGAAACTAAAACACTTATAAGAAGGTTAGTAGTGATTTCTCAGACCCCATAACTACTTCCACACAACCACTACACAATTTGATGAGTGGCAACCTGTTTGAGAGCCCTAACACTAAGGAAAATACATGCTGGAAGACAGAATTGAAGCACATTGGTAGAATTACACAGGGAAACTTGCAAAGTCCATGACTTGACTGTGCTAATATTGTAACAATAATAATAATAATAATAATAATAATAATAATATGGGTTGTCAATTAATCGCAGTTAACTCACATGGTTAACTCAAAAAAATAAAAAGTGAAAAAATTGCGATTAAGTTAATACCAATTGAAATTTATTAAATATTTTGGATGTTTTTCTACATTTTAATATCGTATTCTGTGTTCTAATTGAAATCGAAGTGTATATTTTTTTTATTACAAATATTTGCAATGCAAAAATGATAAACAAAAGACATGGTATTTTTCAATTCACCTTATACAAATACTGTAGTGCAATCTCTTTGTTGTGAAAGTGCAACTTATAAATGTAGATTTTTTTTTGTTACATAACTGCACTCAAAAACAAAACAATGTAAAACTTCAGAGCCTACAAGTCCACTCAGCCCTACTTCTTGTTCAGCCAGTCACTCAGACAAATAAATTTGTTTCCATTTACAGGAGATAATGCTGCCCGCTTATTTACAATATCACCAGAAATGGAGAACAGGCATTTGCATGGCACTTTTGTAGTCAGCTTTGCAAAGTAATTACGTGCCAGATATGCTAAATATTTGTATGCCTCTTCATACTTCAGCCACCATTCCAGAGGACATACTTCCACGCTGACAACGCTCGTTAAAAAAATAATGCGCTAATTACATTTGTGACTGAACACCTTGGGGGAGAATTGTATGTCCCCAGTTCTATTTTATCTGCATTCTGCCACCTATTTCATGTTATAGCAGTCTCGGATGATGACCCAGAACATGTAGTTCATTTTAAGAACACTTTCAAGGCACACTTGACAAAATGCAAAGAAGGTACCAATGTGAGATTTCTAAAGATAGCTACAACACTTGACCCAAGGTTTAAGAATCTGAAGTGCCTTCCAAAATCTGAGAGGGACAAAGTGTGGAGCATGCTTTCAGAAGTCTTAAAAGAGTAACACTCCGATGCGGAAACTACAGAACTCAAACCACCAAAAAAGAAAATCAACCTTCTGCTAGTGGCATCTGACTCAGAAAATGAAAATGAACATGCGTTGGTCCGCACTGCTTTGGATTGTTATCGAGCAGAACCCGTCATCAGCAAGGATGCATGTCCCCTGGAATGGTGGTTGAAGCATGAAGGAACATATGAATCTTTATCACATCTGGCACAAATATCTTGAGACGCTGGCTACAATAGTGCCATGAGAACGCCTGTTCTCACTTTCAGGTGACATTGTAAACAAGAAGCAGGCAGCATTATCTTCTGCAAACGTAAACAAACTTGCTTGTCTGAACAATTCGCTGGCCAAGAAGTAGGACTGAGTGGACTTCCAGGCTCTAAAATTTTACATTGTTTTATTTTTGAATGCAGGTTTTTTTACATAATTCTACATTTGTAATTTCAACTTTCATGATAAAAAGATTGCAACACAGAACTTGTATTAGGTGAACTGAAAAATAATATTTCTTTTGTTTTTTTACAGTGCAAATACTTGTAATCAAAAATAAATATAAAGTGAGCACTGTACACATTGTATTCTGTGTTGTAATTGAAGTCAATATATTTGAAAATGTAGAAAACATCCAAAAACGTTTACATAAATGGTACAGTAACTCCTCACTTAAAAGTCGTCCCAGTTAATGTTGTTTCGTTGTTACGTTGCTGATCAATTAGGGAACATGCTTGTTTAAAGTTGTGCAATGCTCCCTTCTAATGTCTTTGGCAGCCACCTGCTTTGTCCACTGCTTGCAGGAAGAGCAGCCCGTTGCAGCTAGCTGGTGGGGGCTTGGAACCAGGGTGGACCGGCAGCCCCCCTAAGTTCCCTGTGCAGCAGCTGCCTGCAGTTCAGCTGTGTCCCTCCCCCCACTACCATGTGCTGCTCCTGCCCTCTGCCTTGGAGCTGCTCCCAGAGACTCCTGCTTGCTGTGCGCAAGGGGGGGGGGGGAAGAGGAGAGAGAAGAAGAGGGGGGCTAATGTCAGGGTGTCCCCCCCCCACACTCTCCCCCCCCGCTTACCCCCCCTGCCGGAGGGGGGGGGGGGGGGGGGAGGGGAGACACAGGACAGGGCTTTGCTGGCAGCAGCTGTGGTCTCAGCAAGCTGATCTAGTTAACAAGGCAGTGTACTTAAAAGGGAAATTCGCATCTCTCTCTCTCCCCTCCCTCCATTCCTGCTGCCTTATAAAGTGTCAGAGTTAACCCTTGAGGGCTCAGCCAATTTCTCAGTAAGGCATTCCCTGGGAAATATCCCACCCTCTGACTCCTCCACCTCAACCAAGCTTCACAATCATCATCACTGTGTATCAGTATTAAATTGTTTGTTTAAACCTTATAGAGTGAGAGTGAGAGTGTGTGTGTGTGTGTGTGTGTGTAAAAAATAGGCTTTTGTCTGGTGAAAAAAAATTCCCTGGAACCTAACCCCCTCATTTACATTAATTCTTATGGGGAAATTGGATTCGCTTAACATCGTTTCGCTTAAAGTCACATTTTTCAGGAACATAACTACAACGTTAAGTGAGGCGTTACTGTACTCTATTGTTGTTTAAAAAAATTAATCACGATTAATCGTACTGTTAATCACTTGACAGCCCTAATAAAGTACGCCCTTCTATTTCAGAAGCACCAAACACATCAAGCTTTTATCCTCTTTTTAGAATTTAATGGAAGAAATTTAATAATGCAGTAAAATGTTTTCAAGAGCACATTCAACAGTCAGCTGAAGTAGGCTTTATATTTTTTGCCCAAACTAGTATGGTTAAGCCAGAGGTTTCTTTTGACTTGATGGGAGTGATATTTTTCATTTAAAAAAAAAAAAAAGTTTCCCCGAGTATAAACTTCTCAACAAACTTTGTATCATTTAGTTGCATTCTAACGAATGCTTCAGCTGATTCCCACGGCTTGAAAATATTTAATATAGCGGTATGGAGTTAATATAAAAGAACAATTTAATACTTTTGTCTAACAACATTAATCCTATTGATGCCATTAACTGTAAGTGAACAACAGATTAAGACTTGTTATTGTTTTTAGACAAATCTAAGACACACATATTTAGCCATTCTTCACAGGTTTCCTACTTTTTCATTTAAAACATTCATTATATAAATTTAATCTAAAAGGCTTCTATACACCAAGTCTTCATGCATCTCTATTTCTAAAGTAGAGATCAAGAGACTAGAAAAAATCATTTTTTTTAATTTAAAGATTTATTAATCACGTATAATGAGTAAAATTGTGGCTGATAACACAAATAGACTGTCTCAGTTCGTTTGTATTACTGCAAGCCTACTGGTTAGGACTGTCACATATAGTTGTGTACTTCCTGTACATTTACAGAAAATACTGTCAGAACACTAAATTATTTCACAGCTGTAACTTAAGAACTTTATTTTACATAGCCAAGATTAAATTCACTAGAAAATGGTATATTTTCCCTACTTCACATATATGCCGCGTGCCAGAGGTGCAGTCTTTTAAAATGCAAGTACATACACACTTTCCCCTTAAGGTAGCAATAAAGACATGAAATATTGCCCCCTGATATCAAAATAACGATCAGCGCTACTAAAATATTCACACCTCCTAAGTATGTACAACAGATCCTAAGTACCATTAGCTGCTTAATAAAGGAAAAGGTCTAAGAGAGGTGGAGTAGAACATTCTTCGGAAGTTCTCTTCTCAAGAGAGATAACTTGGTAAAAACCGTTGTTTAGTGCACTGCTCCCTGGAAGCCAGGTAAGTTAAGAGCAGCATCTAAATGAAATCTGTCCTAGATCTAGCTGTATGATCAAACCAACAGGGCATTGGGGTGTCGAGCAAGCCTGACACGGACAGTCTGTGCCATTCACAGGTGTGTCTCACTCACCTTTGCTGCTGCTGCCTTTTTTGGCTTGGGCTCGGCTTTGGCGGGGGCAGGTTTCTGGAAAGAGAGGCAGGTTTAGTGCTCGCCCCTCACAGCGCCTAGGAAGGGGCAGCCGGGGGATGTCTATACTTACAGCTGACAGACGTGCAGACCGCCTCTTGGGCTAGAAAGAGAGACAGAGACAGCGTGAGAGTCGGGTCCCTGCTCCGCGCCCCTCCCCGGGGAGCCCGCGCAGGGAGCCCGGCACTTACCTCCTCCCGCGCTTCCCCTTCGGCCGCGGTCACCTGCAAACAAACGCACAGGGAGTGAACGAACAAACACGTGCGCACGCGCAAAGCCCAGGTTTCCTCCCCCCTCCCCAGGGGCGGTCACGGCTGAGTGACGTCAGGACACACGCCCCTTCCCGCCGCCGCGTTCGGATTTCGAACCCCGAGTGCCGTCGCGTTTAACGGCTACAGAAAATTTGAGTGACGCAGCTGCCGCTAGTCGGGAGAAGGGCCCCGCGGTCGCTCAGCGGGTCCGGCTGGGGGCCCGGCCGGAGGGGGGCGCTGATGTCCCGGGCGCCATTTGACCCGAAGTGAGCGTCAGCCGAGCCCAGGGAATTTGCGGGCGGCGGCGCGAGAAGCCCGGGGATAGCCCCGGACCGCAGCGTCCGGTCGGCGGCTCGGTGCGGTGGGGAGCGGTTCCACCCCGCACCTTTCTCCTCGGCATAGCGAGCGGTGGCCCCGACCAACAACCCGCTACTGCAGCTGTGGTCGCTACTGCTCCCCGCGTTCACTCGCTCCCAGCGAGCGGCTGCTGCCTGTGCGTGAATGAATCTTAGTGTCGCTGCGCAGTGGTCGGAGCCCGCCCTTCCCCCATCCCAGCGACGCCGCAACAGGATCCAGCCGGATTGGGGGGGGCGCGCCCCATTCACTGGCGGCCGCGCGCGCCCATTGGGCCGAGCCTCCCGCGGGGCTGCCTTCGAATCACAACAAGCCCCTGGGGCGGGCCCTGTCACTCATTTCAGGACGTGGGGCGTGGCCCATCACTCCGGCGGGGGAGGGGGATGAGCACCCATCTGATTGGTCAAGGTCCCTCACAGCCACGCCTTCCGTCCCGCTTCCCTTCTGTGCTGGAGCAGGGATAGGGGGTGGGTGAGGTGGATGCGCATGCGCAGTGCCAAGAGGTGGAGGAGTCCTGCTGTTTAATGGCGGCCGCGTGCGCGTGGTAACGGTAGTTCGGTGGCGGCTGCGAGGGGGTGGGTGGGTGATGGCGGAGAGCGGCGCGTGGCTGCTCGTGCTGAGCTCGGTGTTTCTGTGCAACCTTCTCAAAATCCTCCTGCCCTCCTGCTCCTCCATCGTAAGTGACGTCAGCGCGCCGGGCTCCCTCCTTAGCAACCGTCAGCCCCCGCTCGCGACAATGGCCGTAACCGCCCGGCGGGCGGCTCGGACCCCAGAGACCCTGTCGCGGAGTCCCCGGGGCGCGCTGCGGGCCTGGCCCGGCCCGGCCGGGGGCGCGGCCCGATGCTTTCCTCTTTCAGGGACCGCAGCCCCGCTGCGGTGCGCGTCTCCTCGGGAGCCTGGGGCGGCCGGGCTGGGGCACGAGCGCAGGGAGCCTGGGCGGGCGCGAAGCTGAGCCGCGGTCTCCTGAGCCCAGGCTGGGCCCCGGGGACTGGCTGGCAAAGGCCCGGCCTGCGCCGCTGTTGCGCGCCGAGCTCGGCCCGCTCGAGGCCGTCATGACTCAAGGCTGTAAAGCGCTTCGTCCCACCCCGGGTTTTCTGTGCCATGGCCTCGGGCGAAGGCTGCCACTGCCGGCTTTGCGCTTGGAAACTGTCCCGGCTCCTTGAGGCCAAGGGCCCTGTTCCAGTGGTAGGTGCTCGTTAAAGGCCTCTGCAGGAAAAGCCACTCGCCACAGCTCCGGCTCGGTTAAGGACTTCATCAATTGTCAGTAAACCCAACGGAGAAGCTCATTTCGAGTCCCCGAAAAACTGACACTTCCCCCACCCCAAACATTCCCTGGTGGCGCTTAGTGACCAAGAGGCCTCATATGTTACATTTTATAGGGATAGTCCTAATTTGGGTCTTCTCCTTATATAGGCTATTACCCCCGTCCTGATTTTTCACACTTGCTGTCTGGTCACCCTATATACATCACTGTCTTGTGTCCAGCCACAGATTGTACTCCTCCCACAACCTCATCCATAAAATCACATACATTGAACCTATTGTACTCTTGGGGGAATTCTGTGCACGTGTAGAATTCATTTCCCCCCCAGAATTTTTTTTCTCTGCAAAAAATACATTCTGCTGGGCAGGTGCTGCAGGTACACCTTTCGCCCACCGGGGTTGCTATGGCACTAGACTAGAGGGTAGTTGGCTCAGCAAGCCTGGCTCTGCCCATTGGGCCAGGTGAGGAGGCATGGGATATGGGGACAGACAAGGGATAGGGGGGAAGATTGGGATGCTAGGGGGGGTCACATAGATGGGTTCAGAAGGGCTAGTGGGGGGACATCTGGATGGGGGCTGAATGTGAGGGGGTGCAGGGACACCTGTGGAGGGGATGCGATGCAGGGACATAGGGACTGGGGCAGATGTGCCTGACTGAATGAGAAAGGCTAGGGGTCAGCCAGTGTCTGCATGGGGGAGGCTCCCCAGCTCCCTAAAAATCTCCCCCCAAAAACCACAACTGTTCCATACTTCTCTCGTCCACACCCACCAACCCTCCTCACTGCCAGGCTCCTTCCCAGCAATTACTTCTCCCTCTTTCAGCTCCTCCATTATCCCTGACTCCCCCAAGCCTTTGCACCGCTTCCGAGAAGTGCGGGAAATCTGATTTTGTATTGTAGTTTAAATGAATTATTACTCAGAGTTCTGTATTCATTTGCCTAGTAAGGAATTTATTTGTCAAAAAAAAATTCTTGAATCTTTTTTTTTGTCTGTATTGTTATAGACATACTTGCTGACAGGCATTTTGAAATAAGCTACCAAAATAATTGGAACTGGTGTGATTATATTGTGTTAATTAATTTTCCCAGTAAGGAATCTATTTGTCAAAAAACATTTTTTGAATCTTTTTTTGTCGTCTGTATTCAGTTATTCCCCCGTCAAGCCCCATCCCCATTATTTTTAGTAAAAGTCAGACAAATCATGAGCTTCCATTAATTTCTTTATTGCTCACAACCTTTCTGTGACTTACTAAAAATAACCGTGAGAAAATCTTTACTTTAAATATTAACATCCCTTTTGAAGTAGCTATTCAGCATTATCCTGTTACTGAAAGTCATAACAGCTCTATTTTATGGACAATAGTTCAGAAATGTTTAGAAACTCTAGAGCAGTGGTCACCAACTGGTTGATCGCAATCGACTGGTAGATCCTGGAGACTTTCACAATCAATCATAATCTCCGGCCACTGAAAGTCTGGTGGTATAGCAGGGCTGCTGCTAAGGCAGGCTCCCTGCCTGCTCCAGCCCCATGCCACTCGGAAGTGGCCAGCACGGCCCTGGGGAGGGGGGAGGGGCAGGGGTCTCTGTGTGTTGCTCCTGCCTGCAAGCACCGCCCCTGCAGCTCCCATTGGCCAGGAACAGTGGCCAATGAGACCTCCAGGGGTGGTGCCTGCAGAGGGGAAGCGCACGGAGCCATGTGGCCCCCTTCTCCCCCCAGGGGCCGCAGGGGCACGTTGGCCCCTTCCAGGAGTGACATGGGGCTGGGGCAGGCAGGGAGCCTGCCTTAGCTCCGCTGCATCACTGACCAAGGTAAGTGCCGCCTGGCGGGAGCCCACAGCCCAGCGCCCCCTCCCGAAGTCAGCACCCTGTACCCCCTCCTGCACCCCGACACTGTGCCTCAGCCAGAGCCCCCTCCTGCACCCAAACTCCCTCCCAGAGCTTGCACCCCAACCCCCTTCCCCAGGCTCAGCCCAGAGCCCTCTCCCACACTCCGAACCCCTCGGCCCCAGCCCAGAGCCTGCACCCCTTCCCGAACCCCTGCTTCAGCCCAGTGAAAGTGTGTGAGGGACGGAGAGAGCGGGGGGGTTGGACTGAGCGGGGTGGGGTAGATGCTAGGTTGCACTTAAATTCAAAAAGTGATCTTGTGCGTAAAAAGGTTGGAGACCACTGCTGTAAACTAGAATAAGTCCATATAAACCAAAATTCAGATTGTGGATTCTCATTTTAAGTTAGGCAGAGAGAGAGTTTATTTTTCTTTGAGCAAGTGATACACTGCAAAATCTTTTTCCCTCCAAGCCCATTCTTACAGTATATCTCAGGATAACTAAGTAATGGAATGCTTAAAGAGGTATACTGAAATTATTTTAGAAAAAACAACCAACTATATAAGTAAAAAACTCGGATCAATGTTGTCATTACTAGTTGCAACTCTGTTTTCTTTTTGTTGTCTGAGTGACCTGCCCCCCTGAAGTGCTAGGCTTTTTGTCCTCTCCTGTTTTGGGATGGAATCAAACAATTCTACTCTTAGATAGGGAACCAGGTATGCTACTCCATGCCTATCAACCACTTATTACTGAAGGTTGACTTGGTTTTGGACACTTGTGTTTTCTCCTTTCAGGAACCTGTGACCAGGGATATTGACTTATAGACGCCTTAAAACAAAATATTTTTATTTAGTAGTTGGAAAAAAGTAAAAAGAGTTTAAAATGAAGAACCTGTACACATTTGTCTTAATGTAGAGTACTACTATCCCAGAAATTGTAACTGCAGCACTCAGCTTCTTTAGATGCCCCACTAGGTCTCATGCTGGTCCTCTCTGACCCTCCTTTAGCCTGTGCACTTTTATCAGCCATATCCTTTCCTCTTTCTTTTCCTCCTGGGTTCTTCACGAAAGTCAGTAAATGCAAGGTAATGCTCATTGGAGGGAAAAAATTCAACTACTCATAGAATTTTGTGAGGTGGAAGTTAATTATATCAGCTCAGGAAAGTGATCTAGGCTTTATAGTAGTCAGCTCAATGCACCTCTTGCACTGTGTTTATTAAAAACAAAAAACCCACCCTAACAAGATGTTAAGATGCACAGGGGATGGAATGGCAAATAAATTGGAAAATATATAAATCAGTGGTGCACCTCAGCTGGAGCACTGCAGTACTGTTCACCCCATCTTAAAAACAATATTGCAGAAATAGAGGGAATTTAGAGAAGACAAAATTATTAGGGGCATGGAAACACTTATGTGAAGAGAGTTTGAAGAGATGGGGATTGCTTAGCGTAGAAAGAGACAAATCAGAGGGGAGATGATACCAGTTTATAAAATAATGATCAGTATAGAGAAAGATTTGGAGTGTCTGTTCTCCCTGTCTCATAATACCAGACAAGGGCACAGTCGATGAAATTAAGTTAGCAAATTAAAACAGGTAAAAAGGAAATATTTTTTCACACAATATGTAATTAAAGCATGAAACTCATTGTCACAAGAAGTTGCTGAGACCAAGAATTTAGCAAGATTCAAAGAAGGACCTAACCATTTATATGGATAGCAAGGATATCAGAATTGTAATACTTAAAGGTAACAAAAATTTTGGAAGGGATATTAAATGTCATGCTTCAGGGGTTAAGCCAATCTCTGAATAAGATGAGCTGTGAAATTAGGTCGGTGTAACTGTCGCTCAGGGGTGTGAAAAATCCACAGCCCTGAATGAAGCAGTTAAACCGACCTAGCCCACAGTGTAGACAATGCTAGGTTGGTGGGAGAATTCTCCCATCAACCTAGCTATTGCCTCTTGGGGAGATGGATTATCTATGCCAACAGAAGAACCCCTCCAAATAGTGTAGGTAGCATCTTCACTGATGTGCTACAGCGGTGCACGTGTGCTGCAGCAGCATTTTAAGTGTAGACAAGCCCTTAGTGACTGGCCCTCAACACTCAAACTCCATTTCACAGCTTAACAAAGAACCAGAATTTGTTGACATTGAGGCTATGCAGCCTCATATTTATTTAATCAAGATTTTTCTGAGGGGTGGGAGTAAAGATAGATTAATTTGTTCTGTGAGGTTGTTGATTCCTTTAGTTGATATTGTACATGTATTCTGTGGTATAATTTTTAAATTGTACAAGTATATAGAAAGTATGGTATTTGCTCTTTATATATTTAAGAAAATAAATATATACTAAATTCTGACTAAATAGCTGATCGAGTTCCCTTTTTTTTTTGTAGATATCCAGATTGCTACAGAAGGATGCAGAGCAGGAGGCCCAGATGAGAGCCGACATTCAAAACATGAAGCAAGAACTCTCAACCATTAGTATGATGGATGAGTTTGCTAGATATGCCCGGCTGGAAAGAAAGATTAACAAAATGACTGACAAACTTAAAACTCATGGTAGAGTGCAATATTTGTTACTTGTTCAGTTTACCTAAAAACACATCTTTTCCCAAGTATGTTTTTATTTTGACTGTATTTGACCTTATCTGTAGAGCCTTTCACATTTTTCTTTATCCCTATCCAGTGCTCTCTTGTTTTTTGTTTTGTTTTTAAGTTTGAGGGTTTTATTAATATTGTTTTTGTTTCTGTTGTACATAATACTAAAGGGGTGGGAATATAAGTACCTTTCAGAGGAATTCACAAGGAAACTGAGGCAGAAGGCAAGTTTTCATTTTCTGTCTGAAGAAACACTCCAGTCAGTCAGTACACCTAGAATTTTTGAGTTCAAGTCAAAATAGCAGCGTGTCTTTAAGACATGAAAGTGAGCCACTAATGCTATGTCTTCGTTGCAAAAAGGTGTTAGTTTTTTTCTACAGCAGGATAATTAATGCATGTTACAATCCCTTTGTAAAGTCTTAATGGAGACAAGGCACTGACTGGAGATTTTACCACAAGCTAATTAGACAAGGTCAGTGCTATGTCTCCTGCCTGTGATTGACCTCACCTAATTTAACTCTTGGTAAAACTACAGTGCATTGTCTCTACAAAGCTGTTTAATAAAGATTTTGGCCGCTGGGCCACCATGTTTAAAGATATATTTTTTTGGATGGATTCCTTTATATTGCTCTGAAGCACCACAGCGGTTGAAAATCAAATTGGAAAAACAGTCTTTTTTGTCAGATGTAACTATTTGGAATAGTCACACTAAAATGATTTTTCATTCTGAATGAGATTCATTCAGCTGGGCAAGAAAGTATTCTTGACAACATTCCCATGAGCCCGAATGGTTAAAAAAAGGCAGTGATAGAATGCCTAATGCGATAGTCTGTGTCCGCTCAAGAGATTGCACTACCCCTATGGAATAGAGAGTACTCTCGTTTGTGTTTAGTCCAACGTAAGTTTTCATAGGTCAGCAGCTGTAGAGATTCCTTTTGGTTGGGGATAAAACTCTTGGTTAACCATGACATTTCTTTGTCTAGTGAACCACTATTTCAAACATTCCCCAGAGTAGCTTTGTGTAAGGAAGTAGGTAGCATCTTACTCACAGAGGGATACTCTGTAGCGTACACTGATATTTTGGATGATGAAAAGAATGCCTATGTTTTCCAATAATAAATTGCCAGTGACAGCACATAAATAGAAGTCTAATCTTTGAGCAGAATATTTTCATTTGGAAAGTGAAATATTAATAATTCACCAGTTTGAGGTAAGCACTTTACTGTTTATAAATAATACAGGTGGCAATATTTCTTTTCTTTTCACAGTGAAAGCACGAACTGCTCAATTAGCCAAAATAAAGTGGGTGATAAATATTGTATTCTACATTCTACAAGTAAGTGAACACTTTATTACGATGGAATACCGATCATTAAAACAAATACTTACAATGATATTTTACCATTCTGCAGCTTTGGCTAATACTTCCACTATGTCTACACTACCGACCTAACAGCAGCACAGCTGTACCACTGCAGCTCTCTCACAAGTGCAGCCTCTCTATGCCGGCGGGAGAGAGCTCTCTCACCAGGCTAATTAAACCACCCCCAATGAGCTGCGGTAGCTATGTTGGTGGAAGACACTCTCCTGCCGACATAGCACTGTCCACGTCGGCGCTTTTGTTGGTGAAACTTATGTTGGTCAGGGGTGTTTTGTTTTTGTTTTTTTCCCATGCCCTGACCGACAAAAGTTTTGCCGACAAAAGTGCTAATGTAGACAAAGCCATAGACGTGCATCTGACATTCTGACTATATGTAGCATGGCAAATGCTATCATCAGTAAATACTTATTTCCAGGGATGGAGGATATTGCTGATGCGGGGGGGGGGGGGGGGGGAGAGGGGGGTGGTATTTGCGGGGAGAAGGGATTTTTGAGTTTGATTTAATGTCTGGTCTGCTGTTTTCCGGCTTTGGTGGGAGAGGAGGCTTCTTGCCTTATCCTTTACGTCATTGCTCTGTTGTTTGTGTCAGAGGCAACTGGCGCCCAGGATGATAGGTGCTATCTATCTTTGTAAGCTGGGCTGGTAGCCCTGCCTGTTGTTAAGGTTGCTTTACATTTACAGTTATAAGACCCTGTTTTCAGTTGCTTATAACTTTGCCAGACTTCAACTGTTTAGACTGAAATTTTCCTTGAAACTGATGCTGACATTTTAATATTGTGTGTATAGTTAAGATGATGTAAGTAGCATCCAGATTGTAACAACTTTTTGTAGTTTTATGGGCACAATCTGACATTTGTAAGTTTAGCCGCACTTCATAATTATTCCTATTTTAATTTACTGCCACAAAATAGAAATTTGAACATACTTTTTTATGTGTTGTTTTCCTGGCTAATGAGAATTTCCATTCCAGGCTGCTTTGATGATCTCACTAATTTGGAAATATTATTCTGAGCCAGTTACTGTGCTTCCAAGCAAATGGCTAGCCCCATTGGAGCGTTTAGTAGCCTTTCCTACTGGAGTGGCAGGTAAGATTGTGTATAAGTATTATACATTTCTCTTCTCTCCAAGTGTATGTGGAGTTCAAGAGTGTAACGAGAAAGGGCACATGGAGGATAAAAATGCTTTCCTTACCTATCTTTCTAATAACAAAGAGAATTTTAAACTACAGTCTTTACTGATCAGGCTTCTGGGCCATACTGCAATTTTAATATTAAATAACATAAAAAATGAAGGCCTCTTTCACGTTATGGGAAATTTGAAAAAAGTGATCAGAGAAGGAACAGCCTGCTCTCAGCTTCCTTTGCTGAAGGAAACATGATTAGGCTGCATGGGGGCCTATACGCAGAAATGCATTGTAGTGTTTCCCTTCTTGGTTTTAATTTTTTTACTGAAGTAAGTTTAAGCAATTCCTGAAGCCTTCCTGGATGTCTGGTCTCGTATTTCCATTTGGGATATTCCTTTCTGGGCCCTTGGCCATTAGCAGAAACCTGCATTTGCTTCTGAGAGAAACTGCATGTGTTTCCTTTATTATGTTAAAACTAAAAAGATGTTGAAAGGAATTTATGTAGGGAAAATAAATTAGAGATCAATTTTATACTAACAAAAGCCAAAACCTCACATTCGATTAGTGTAATCATGTACAGGTCATATATAAAGTGATTTGAAATGAATTTAGAAAAGTAATGCTCCAGGGCCCACTCCCACTTCCATTGAAGTCAATGAGAGCGTTACATTGACTTTGAAGGATTTGGTGTTTAGTGAGAGACCTTGGCAAGGTGTTGTTAGACAGTTTACAACGTGTCAAGTCTAAACTTTTGCCTACCTTAAAAATACTATATCTTTCCACGTTGGCTTCCTGATCCTTGAAAATCTATCATTTTGAAAACAAGAGCTTCAACAGAAGGCTAAAAAAATGGAACTTTTCTCCAGCACTACCTAACAGTAAATTCAAGATTCAAGGTTTCTCTCAGGTCTCAGATCCATGTTTCTGAATGGAGACCCTGACTACTGTATACTGACGAGCTGAGCAGACAGACAGACTGCAAGGACAATGTAACGTGTGTGTGTATGTATGTGTGTGTATATATATATATATATATATATATGCCCACAAGCTAAAACACAGGTGACAGCTTTTATTTTAAGCCTACCGGTATATGTGCCAATGGTGTCCTCTTCAAAGGATTCTAAATTATGTTGCTATCTTTTTAACACTTAAAAGCTTTCTTGAGCATGGTCCCTATTCACCATGATAACTTGCCGAGACAGGACTGTGTTTCTATGGTGCTGGGAAGGATTAGTCCTTGAAAGGCATTTACTTAAACAATACATAAAGCTTTGAACAGTTCTGTTCAATTATCTGTCTCTCATCCTCTTCTTTTGTCTTAGTTGATAATCATGAGGGAAGGCTATTGCTCTTGAAAATGCTTCTAAATTATGCTGCTCCCAGTACAGAGACATTTAAAACCATTGAAAAGAATAGTTTCTCCACCTCTATCCCAAGGAAATAATTTTCATTTTTTAAACATGATACTGAATTGACATAGCATAAAAATGCAGAAACTTACAAAAAGAGATGCTAAACCACATAATGAACTAAAAGCTCATCCAGACTTTTTCCCTTTGTTTTTTATTTTGCTTTGCCAGCCTAAAGTGAATTGTGGGATGTGATTGGTCAGTGTCAAGCAGCTTTTGTGGGATGCCAAGAAAATCCAGCTTTTGATTAAAAATTACTGTTCTACTTTCTAAGAATTTGACACTTTTTTAAAAAAAACTTGTGTGCAGCTGTACATTCACTTGGAAACAACAATTCTCTTTAGTTTTGAAATACTTATTTTTTAAGAAGTATCATATTTCCCTTTTTGTTTTATTTATCACTTTATTGTTGCTGAATTTCCTGGTGTACTTCAGTCTGGAAACACTCTATTCTGCCAAACATAACTACTATATGTCAACACTGTTGGTTTTAGTGGGAAGGCCATTTAAAACAGTAGCACAAGAGTATCTGGAGGGAGGGTCCAGTAGTGATGGAGTTAATAGTTTTTTTCCTGGGTATGCATATTTAAAACATTGCTTTAAAACAAAACAAAAAAAAATTTTCAGGAAACATTCTTTTTACCCACCTTGAATTTTTTTTAAATTTAAAAGGAAGGTTCTACTTTGGTGCTCCCTTTCTACTTCACCTTTGTCTTCAACAGCAAAGTTATATCTCTAATCACACAACAGATATGTTTAGAAGTTGCAGGATATGTATGTCACGCATTGGTACATACTGTACCTCTAATTCAGTACCATCTCCCTGACTTTCAGATTCTCTCAGAATTAGGTATAAATACGTTATCCCTTGATTCCTTAAAATTTTCATTTTTGACCCTTCCTGAGTTACTTACCAGAGTTAGAGATGTGTGTTTGAGAGTTACTGATACAATAATATACGATGCTTTTCTCTCTCCTCAGGTGGTGTTGGAATTACATGCTGGCTTGTGGTCTGCAACAAAGTTGTGGCCATTATGCTTCACCCTTTCAGCTGAGAAGGAATCCCAGAATTCTGAACTGCATTTCCGTTATTATAGTTAGAAAGTGGAGTCCTGAAGTCTTTTACGAGAGACAAAATACAGAGCTTGCCCTAAGTACTTCACTTCTGGTGTATAAAGGGAGAGAAGCCCTTTCTATCTAAGAAAGCAATTGTATACAGTGTAATAATTAAGCATGAATTAATTTTCATCTTTTATTATTTCAATTGAATATTTATCAATAAGGTTTATTGGTCATACCTTCTTCCCTTGACTTATCCCTCAAGTTCTTAGTCAACAACTTTTAAAGAATAATATTACTCTTGATAAAGCCTCATTTTTTGTTGTTGATGGCTAGTATATACACTGGTTAACTGCAGAAACAAGAATTTGTCACTACAATTTCACTGAGAATCAGCTGCAATGCTGGATTAACTATAGCTTTTTAAGGTGAATTACAGAGTGGGTGTGGATTCTTTTAGGGCTTTACTATTTATTTGGGAGAAGTATAATTTTCTTTTGGTGGAGTAGGGAGGTAAATTTACTGCTTGTTTATTTTAGAATGTGATTTCCTGACTTTACCTTGCAGACTTCAGCATTCGTGGGCTGTCTTAGAAGATGCACTGCTGATTTAGTTGAAATCTAAAGTTGTCCCCTGGCCCTCTCTCAACTGCCAGATATGTGGTGGCTGGCTACTTGTTCCTGTCTGCTCCCAAATGACAATGGAGACCCACTTGCTTGAACGTATTATATCTCCTCTCCGAAATGGCTCTTCCTAGCCCCGGACCTGATTCTCCCTCTCAAAGTACTTCTCTTCCCCCATCTCTCAACTTGTACTGTCTTGGGAAGGAACGATGTGGCCAGTCTCTTCCTGTTTCATGGTTGAGGAGGAGAAGCAGGAAATGTTTAAACTTCAGAAGGAAGAGCAATCACTAACATTTCAAAATATGAGTAATGTCATCTTCCAGGATAGCCCAAGATAGTCTGCAAGGTAAAAAAGTAAGTCAGGGACTTAGATTTCTGAAGTAATAGAAAATCTTGAAGAAAATGATAATTAGCAGAGGAAAAACTTTACTTTTTGGAGTGAATCCTCTTTTCCCCAGTGCTAAGCTACAGTAAACAGGCTGGATGCATATGGTCCTGCAGGGGAAGGGCCTCCCTACTAGCCTGCCGAACAGTGATAAACTGTTTTGCAACAGCTTGGCTACACTGTCTGCTGCCCATGTCATTCCTTTCCTGAAAGGCCAGTGGTCAGTGGATTGGCAGAGTCCTTGATCCACAAGCCCTGCATGCCTCTACGCTGGCATGGAAAAAACTAATGTGGAAAGGGGCACATAACACGCCTGCATAAGTTCCAGGAACCCTGGCTCACCTGCTTTCCCTGTGCAAGGGACCTGCATCTGTTCCACTACATTCAGTTCCCTTCATAGTCCTAGCGGGGTGTGCCTGATTCTCATCCCTCCTCCAAATGAACACTTCGTTTAGGAATGAATTCTTAAGGTCACGATACCTGTTCTGTGTGTGTGCATGAAATGTTTTTCTTTGTATGTTAGTTTTTAATTTGTTTTTTATGTTGGTTATGTTGAGCCAGTATTAATATTTATGCATAAAATATGCACGACCAAGAAAAAAATACAGTGATTGAGAACCGCTGTGCATGGTTTCTTTATTCATTAAATAAGGTGGTTCTTTCCATATTCATTTTAATTAAAACTTTTGAAAAGATTAATGAGCATTATATTGGTAGATAATTGGTAGTTGCTACCTAAGGAGATAAACAAGGAAACAGTGCATTACATACACAAACTTTGAGGCACTAAAAGTAGATTATTTTAACCATGCTATTAACACTGGTCCCCTAGATGCATCTGATGATGCTCAAAAGTCTTGCATTTCATTTGTTTTGAAGTGAAAGAGCAAGACCAGTAGGAGCAGCATCTTTTTCCAAAAGAAAAGTTGCTTTAGCAGTAGATTTGTGTTGTCTATTTTGGTTACACTTACTAGGCCAAGTCTTGCTCTATTTATTCACACAAGTAATCCTATTGATTTCTTTAATCAAACTCCTTGTGAGAGCAAGAGCAATGAAGTTTTGGCTCTGAGAACTGTGAACAAAGTTGTTGGTTTAAGTATTTTTTGAATGTGACTGCTCCATATGCTGGGTATGGCTATAATCACACGAGAAATATTGACATTTCATAGATATTCTTTCCCCATGCATTTTTGATCACACTACCAACCATCTTTGAAGTTTTTCATTGCAAAGTTTAATCAAAGTATTTTATCTTTAGGAAAAAAGCTATCAAGTACCAAGAAAATTACTCTTATGTGAACACATGCAGGGTATCTTAATCCTGAAAAGTGACTAGAATCTGTTACAGGATAATTAATGTTCATGCTACTGTTTTTAAATGTCCTTGACTTTTTTGAAAATTAAATCAGACAGATTTTTTTTTCCCTTTCTGACCCTTGCTACATATCTGAAATATCCTACTTTAAGTGACGACAGATTTAAAAAAAACAGTAAACAAAGGCAAGGCTATTTGAGAAGTGGACATCCCCTACTTTTCCAAAACAACCCATTCAATGGGCAAAATAGTGCAGACTTCATCACCTGAGTCCAGTGGTTGGGATGCGGTGCTTTGAGGAATTCTAACTTTCAGTGGCAACGAATGAAGCTTCAGAGCTTTCTGGAACTGGTGAAAATATAATTTTGTTTGAATTTTGGAAGATATTTCAGGACTGAACTTTAACTTTTATTGTATCAGGGCCAACTAATGACCATAAAAGCAAATCAATCACCTCAGCCAGCTGAAAAATCTCACATAGAAATCCAGATTGAAGCGAAAGATCTTCCATTTTACCCTAAAGGCTGCCTGTCCTGCTTGAGCATTGGTGGATGATATGGATGATTGAATTCCAGAGCTGAAGTCCTTTCACCAATAAAGGTCTGCTGTCTGTCCCCAGCATTTCAACTTTAAACTCTCAGCAATTTGAATTAATATGTTCTCTTATTCTGACACAAGATCACTGAAATCCTTCAGCTTTTAGTCATGCCACTATTGGATAAAAACATAGCTTACATATGATTACTTTTATAGTGTTAAAAAAAGCACTTTATATATCTATATGGGCCCTGATCCACTAAAGTACTTAAGTACTTGCATAATTTTAAGCAGGAATAGTCATAGTGAAGTCACTGGGACTACTTGTGCTTAAAGTTATGAAACTGCTTAAGTGCTTTGCTAGACTTAGGGGCTCAGATTTAAAAGCTACACAAATATTTAAAACGGGTGTGAAATCCTGGCCCCACTGACTTCATAGGGGCAGAATTTTGCCCCATAAATCCAACAGGTATTTCAATCCTGCTTATCTTTTCACTGTTCTGTAGCACAAGCCCTTCTTTAATGTTACTCTTCCAGACAACTTCAACTGCTTTCCAACCTTGACAGCCTTTCACTGCAGCTAGCATAAACATGGTTTTAATATTCTTTATTATGGTACATTCTAATATGCCCAAGAGTGTTCAACCAATTGAGTAGCATGCATAAGCATTGGGACACGGCCCTTGTAGAGAAATACTCTCCTGTAACTGAGTATTCCATTTCAGTTTTATTGCTGAAGAATGGTTCAGGTAAACATTCTAATAAGATTTAAATGAAATCTTACAAATAATGAAGGCAAAAAAACAAAACTGGTAGGCAACACACTGCTTTTCAACAAATGTTAAACATATTGCATATTTTAAGATTAAAGATAAACAATTTAACTTTGTACATCAATTGAATATTAAAACTATTTTATGTCTGAGGATGAAGTTGTTAGTTTAGACTTTCCTAGTGTAAGTTTAGAATCTCCACATTGCAGACCAGTATCAGTGTTTGAAATCTCACTTGTATAATTATGTAACCTTTCATTGTCCACAATTGTTTGTTCTTTATCAAGCTCTTTTGTGTTAGGGGTTGAATGGTTGTTTAAGACATAGCTTGGTCCAAAGAGTTCTTCCATAAGAGAGTTTTTCCTCTCTATTAGTGTTGTACGAACATAGCTTCCATCCTCTGCATCTTTCTGCCTTGTTTTGGTAACTTTACCAAATGATGGCTCATATATGCCAAATGAATTTCTTGCCTTCAATTCAGCTGTCTCACTCTGGTGCCGACCTGCTTGTCTGTTTTTGCGGAGGCTGCCTGTGTTGGACACTGGACCTGATGCAGGAAGCCCCTGATGCAAGTTTTCAGTGGCTTCTGTGAATGTATACTGTTTTTTTAGTCTAGTGGGTGTTCTGTTATTCTGAGTTGGAGTTACACTTTTATCATCCGCTGCTCCTTTGTCACTTAGTTGTTTACTTTTTCTTTCCTCCTTTTTATTCTCTTCTGCTACAACTTTTTCCTGATTATTCTTCCTTATTGGGACATCATTTGTAGGTCGAGTTTGTCCTGCTTTCATCAGTTTCTCCAGTTCTTCTTTCAGTAAGTCAGCTTTCCTTTCTTGCACTTCTCTCTTTTTCTTTTTTCTTTCGATAAATTCAAAGTGAGTTTTTTCTTCCGTGAGCTGTATTTCATCACTTAAAAATTCTACAATGGAATATTTTTATTTAGCAATGTTCTTAATTTAGGGATTATTTAAGAGCATTAGATAGTGCAAAGACATTTTACCTATGTAAATCTATATACCATCATTCTTGTTTATATTTCACCAGTTCTATGAGATTACTAAGAAGATACTGTTCACTAATGAGTATGCCAGAAGACTTGTTAGATCTAGATAGTACAGCACCCTGACGCTAAACTGACCCTAGAGTTTGCATCTAGGCTTTTACTACATATTTTTCCAGATGTTTAACTTTATTCAGTGTACAAATGTAATAATTTTATTCATGATAATTTTTATTACTCCATGATTTTGTAAAGGGTGAACATAAAAAAGTGATATACTTCTATATGACAAAGTCCAACTACCAGCCCTGCAAACAAATTCAACATGTGATCTAAACTCAAATTGTGTTCTTTTTGTCTTCAGCATCATCACCCATCATGAAGAATTCTGGAACTTAAGTGACAATTTTGTTGATGTTGAATAAGGTGGAAATGATTCTACTTTATCATTTCCTAGCTGTATTGGCTCTGTAGTGTGGGCATTGGTAGGTTTTTTTTGGGGGGGTAGTATACACACA